AAGAGCCTATCTTGACTAGGACCTGGGTCGGCGTACTGGCGCTTTTGTTCCTCATTAAGTTTAAGGCGCATTTGCTTCAGAACCTGGGCGATGTTCGTCTTAGACCAGCCTTCTGCGCGGAAGTTGTTGACCGCGGCCATTAGGTCACCTGGAACGCCATTGGTGTGTCCGCGAAAGTTCAGTCGCCCTTGACCCTCCCACGCGCCCTTGTCGTACTGCAATACCCCGCCATGGTTGCTTCGAGGAGAGCTGACCACCACGTCGCCAAGCACGATCTCTGAGAATGCACCAGGTTGCCCATAGCGAGGCACGCCGCCAGCGATGCCGACAAGGAGAAAGTACTTGATGTTGGGGAACCCAGTGCGCATTTTCTCCGCAAGGATTGCGGCACCCGTTAGTCCTATCCTTCGCTGCACGCCAATAACGACCTTGTGTTTTCCAATCCGGCCGCCTAGATAGTATGTGTTCTGGTGCTGGACCTCGTCTTGGGGGTACTCTTCGTCCAGCACTAGCCTCGCGGCCTCTTTCTCTAACGGGAGCGGGCAGATCCATCCTATAGTGAACTGGTGATTCTTAGCCATTGCGGTAGACAGGTCTTTTTGACAACTAATTTTGATGAAAAGTAATGCGCATCACTGAGGAGCCGAAACAGTGAGGAGCGGAGGTAGCGCGCAGGTCCAAGCAGTGGCGGTTGAAGGCAGCTGAACGAGGATTCAGGCAGCAGCACTAGGCTGCGTTTCAGCCTGATTACTTCCGCCCAGCGTCTTCTCATATTAACTTTAATCAGAACTTTGTTCTTCTCCTTTATCTGCCTACTTAAGGGCTAGTTATGACGTGGTTCACAAGCGAATCGCTCGCTCAAGCGAATCGCTCGCGCCTCATCAGCGCGTCGACGTCAACACGTTATCACAGCTTCTTATCACAGTCAATAAACTGTCGCGATATACTAAATTAATTGTCAGTACTGTAAATAGTTATACAACTCCGCTCTTATGGCGAAATAGGTTTATCGCGAAAGGCGACAGCTCTAGGCCTTGAGAGCCTGAGATGCTCAGCCCACCTGCTCCACCAGAACCACAAAGCAAGCGTT